TCCTCATTTTAGAGAAAAGGCTCAGACAGGTAGAGGCACCTGCCCAAAGTCACACAACCAGTAAGCTAAATAACAGCTGCAATTCCAACCCAGGCCTATCGACTTTCTCTGCTTTTGTTTTATCTGCAGTTGACCAACTGCTTTTCCCAAGCATGGGCCACATGCGCCACTTCCCGCAGAAGAGACATGCAGGCATGCCATTGTCACTAAACTTCTTTTGAAGATCAGACGCACTCCCACCTCAAGGCCTTTGCGCTTGCCTTTTCCTTCCTGGAATTCACTCACTCCTGACTTTTACAGAGCCAGCCCTATCTCCATCTTCCAGCCAGATGGCCTCCCTGCCTCCCTGCTCACTGCCCTGTCTTATTTTCTTCCTGGCACCCATCACCATTGTGGTGTCACTGAGACTTAGTGGAAGTGCCCTGGAATCAGAAAACTTACCATTTTGTCCATTTCCAATTCTCTAGTACCTAATACAGGGCCTAGCACATAGTAGATGCTCAAGAAATAATTCACAAATGAAAATATGAATGATACTCAGAGGGTAAAGTGGTTAGTTGGAGGAAATATTTACATGCTAATTATAATTATTATAATACATGCCTATATATAGCACATTTTATTGGACCTTGTGCTAGTGGGTTTGTTTTTTTATTGAGTTGTAATCCACAAACAGAAAAACCCACCCTTTCACCTCCAGTCCCATGAGTTTTGACAAATGTATACAGTTATGTATCCACCACCACAGTCATGACATACAATGTTGCTAATACCTTGAAAAGTTCCCCTCTATCTTTTTCCGCAGTCATTTCCCACCACCACTCACAGACCCCGGCAATCACAGATTCTGACTTTTCCAGAAAGCCTTATGAATGGAGTTCTACAGCACCCAGCCATCTGGGTCTGGCATATCTCACCCTGAGTCCTCTGACTGAGCCTCCCCTGAGCCGCTGCACGCATCAATAGTGCATTCCTTTTTACCATGAGTAGAGTGCTCTGGATGGATGGACCAGTCATCCGTCCACTCACCAGTTAAGTCAATTGTAGGTAAATAAGGGAAGAGGAAAGCAGACTTGGGCAGCTCTCCTCGCCAATGAAACTTCGCATCCAGGGGCCACATCTGTTGTCTGTCCAGAGCATCCTTCCTTCCCAGCCCCCGCCCGTCAAAGCTCTTTTCCCTTCATTCAAGACCCTTTTCAAGTGCCCTCTCCCCAACAAAGATCAGGGCGGACTGACCTCAGGTCAGGGATCTGTAAAGTGAGGCTGAAGAAATGTAATGCCCTCCAAGGGCCCGACAAGGGCCAGAACTCAAACCCAGGGCCCAGGGATGGAAGTTCAGCCTCTCTGCAGGCTGGAAGCATGTGGAAGGTCAGGTCCCCAGACTTCATCTCAGGCCTTGAACCTGCCAGCATGAGGGTGATGGGGAAGCAGCAGATTCAGACTTGGGGTGAGGTGGGGACTAGAGAACAGTAGATCCCACCCTGGGTCAGTCCTTCCATCAGGACCCTCCCCTCGCCACCCTGAGCCCTGATCCACCCAGGCCATGTTAGTGACCAGAGTCCCAGCAAGACTGAACTGGGCCCATCTGCCCAGATTACCTATCCCAGGGCCCATACTGGTGGGCGCATGTGATCAAAGAAGCGACAGGCCACAGCTGTGGGTGGCCTTTGCCCTGCCCAGCAGCCTGCAGCCACAGGACCAGTGGGAGCCCATGAAGGTGCTGAGGGAGCTCCAGTCCCTCGAGGCCACCCTGAGCTGCCATGAGTCACCAGCACAGCTCTGCAGCCCTGGGGACACCCTAGGCAAGGAGTCTTCCGCTTGCCAGATGGTGTCCTTGGGCAAGTCTTCTGCCTCTCAGTTTCTCTATATGCTAATGAGAGGCTTAGAGAAGATGTCTGGGAAGGTTTCACCTCAGGAATGAATTTGCTGTTTGACCACCCATAGCAGATGCTCAGGACCTGGGAGTCTGCACTTCAGTCCAGGTTCTCGGAGGTGCGTGACCAGCACAGCTCATGCCAGTGGGCCCAGCCAGTCGCACATGGGAGTCTCCTAGGAGGTGATGGGGATGAGGCAGGAGGGCACAAGACGCAAACCCATGGGGGAATTCCATAGCCTGGCCCAGGGCAGGAGGGTGAACAGATTCAAAGCGCGCGTTGGAATCACTGTGGGCAGAACCTACCAGTATGGAGAGTGAGAAAGAGAGAAGGCACTGAGGACTGAGCTTGAGGCCTCAGAACTGGGTGCAGCTGTTGACTGAGATGGAAAGACCTGGAAGAATGGGGTGGGAGGGACAGAGCGGGTGGGAGCCAAGGGATCGCGTGGTCCATGCTGCGTGTTTTATGTCTGAGACCCAGGCAGAGATGGTGCGTAGCTGGGACATGCTGGGGAGAAGTCTGGGTGGGAGAGGGTGATGGCCCCCATCCAGCGGGTGTGGAATCCTCGGACCCGTTGGAGCACCTGGGGCAGGGCCCTGATGCCTTTGGGACCTTGGACCCTTTGGCATCTGATTCTGGTGACACTTAAGGACCCTTACTCAGAAACACATACAATAAGCATAAGAACACCCAGTAATATTGAAATTATAAGCAAAATATGAACAATAAAATCTGTAATAAAGTTGTAGCATTATCCAGTTGTGGGTTTGATGACATCCACAATTCTAAAGTCATGCTGAGGACAAACGTATTTTAAGATACAATAATGTGTTGCGACAGGAAAATGCTTGTCATTTCTATCAGTAATGAGTCCCAGGACTGCAAATACGCCTGTGGTCGGTGCTTGTGCTTGAAGGAAATGGCAAACTGGAATGACAGGTGAGCAGACAAAGATGTCCGTTTTTCTCAGCCGCGTCTATGGATCCTGTGGTTCCCCACTGAAGACCCCTGAGTAGGGAGAGAATGCACAGGGAGACGAGGGTCCAGGCCTTGGCAGTGGAATCATGGTGGGCAGAACCTACCAGTACGGGCCACCACCCCCACGGGGGGGAGCCTGTAGGGAGGCATGGGGTGGGTGGGGGTGGGAGGGAAGCCAGGAGAGTGTGCCCTGGGAGGTGCTTCCAGCCAGGTGGAGCGGCCATCTGGGGTTGACTGCTGCTAAGAGGTCAAGTAAGGCAGGACACAACAGTGTCCCTTGAGTGTGGTGTTGAGGACCAGGACAAGGTGAATTCATTAGAGCAAAGAGGCTTCCCAGGCTGCAGAGACGTGACCGGGGGTGAGAAGGAGGTTGGCCATTACGAGTTATGTTTTCTTGTATACATGTACCTTAATTATATTATTAATGTTATAGAATGTTGTAGAAATTTCAGGTTGAATACAGCAGAGAAATTGGAGAAGTTGCCAGAGAGGCTGCGGGGCTGGTTTTTAGGTGGGAGCTGTCAGCACTCTTGTGTGCTGCCAGGGACAGGGGGTGACATGGGAGGAAAGAAGGGGTCTCTCTGGTCCTCATTCCCCTCTGCCGTCTCTACACCAAGGCCTCTCATGCTCCAGTGAGCATCCGATACAGCCAGAGGGCTTGTTGGACACAGATGGCTGGGCCACCCGGAGTTTCTGGGTCAGTGGGGCAGGGGTGGGACCTGGAAACTCACGTTTCTAAGGAACTCCCAGCTGATGCTAATCGAACGACCACGCTTTGCAAAACAGGATTCTCATCAATACTAGCACTGCCATGAGCACCCCTCCAGGATTTGATCATGGAACAGGTTCCCCCGAAAACACTCCGGGGGATGAAGGGGTGGAGCAGATGGTGGAGGCCAAGAGGGGTGAAGAGAAGATGGAGGATGTGGCTGGAGCCTGGCCCTGGCCAAGGTCGCCTCCTCTCCTTGGGGAGCACCGGTCTTCCCAGGGACCCTGGGAGCTGCCCAGTTGGATTGCCCAGAGACCGAGTGAGAGGGAGCCAGGGAAAGGGTGGGGGTAGGGGCGTAAGGCCAGCACGTGTACAGAACCAACAGGGAATGGTAGGTGGGGCCGGCTCTCAGCGGGAGAGCACTGAGGTCCGAGAACACACAGTTCACCTTGACAATTTGAACCTGCCATCACGCCAGACCAGCTTCTTCTGTTCTTGAGAGAGAGGGAGAGAGAGAGCAGCCCTATTAGAGAAAGGAGCATTAGCGTATGGGATCTCAGAACAGCAGAGCTGGGAGAGCCCTTGGGGACTGCTTGCATGGTAGATGGAGAGGCCAGACAACAGAAAGGACAGCTTAGCCCATGGACCTGTAAACTCCTGTGCTAGGTAGGATGTGTGCTCATTCCCTGTGGCTGTCTCACCCAGAGGACCCTGGGCAAGGACTCGCAGTTGCAGGCTCTGCTCCGATCCTTTTCCAGCAACGCATTTACCATGTATTTACCACACACTTGCTGTGTGTCACACAGTGTGCTGGACACTGTGATACAGTGCAGCAAGACCAAGTCCCTGATTTCACTGAACTGACATTCTAGGGGGTGAAACAGATGACACACAGATACATCTGGAGAGATGAGTGGTATGAAGAAACCTGAAATGACAGGGGGAGCAAGCCATGCAGATGGGGCTGGGGGCTAGGGAGCAGGAACAGCATGTGCAAAAGCCCTGAGGTAGTATGTGCCTGCTGTTTGGAGGGATGTCACAGAGGCACTGCGCCTGGAGCAGAGTGAGTGAGAAAGTGGGGACAGGAGCAGAAGTGAGGAGGGTCTTGGGAGACTAGGTCGGGGAGAAGCCTGTAGTCATGGCTTTGCCTTCAAGGGAAACCGGGGAGGGTTTCGAGCAGAGGGGAGTGTGACTTCACCTAGGCCTGACAGGATGTCTCTGGCTGCCGAGTGGAGGATGGACTTGCAGGGAACAAGGGTAGAGGCAGAGAGGCCAGGAAAAAATCTCCCAGGAGAGTCCAGGCAAGGGTGATGGTGGCCTTGCCTGTTCTGAGCAGGGAGGCTTCCTCCATTGCTCAGTGCCCTTCCACGGAGACATGTGAAACGGACAGGAGGCACCTCGGACTCTACCTCCTAACCCTAGACTGTGCTCTCTTGCAGCTAGAAAGTTCCATCTACACACATTTGAGGAGGCATCAGGTGCAGGACCAGAAGCACATGACCCAGAACAGGATAGCCACCATGCCGGGGACCCACAAGCAAACTGACTTGGAGGCTCAGGTAACGGAGGGTGGGTGAGTGGGCACCGAAGGGCCTGCATCTGGCCATGCTGGCTCATGGCCCAGGTCATCTCACCTTGACCTCTGGCCCCGGGTGAGGTCAAAACCAGTATTCCCTAACCCCGTCCGCAGTGACCTTGTCCAAAACTACCTCCCTCCAGGCTATGAGCCCGGGAGCAGATGCTGGGCTGGGTCTTCTGGCTTCTGTGGCTTCAGTGCCCATGTTGATGCTGGGCACTGGGGTGAAGGGTGCAGCGGGACATGCCCCATGCCCTTGGGGGACTTACAGTGCATGGGAATGATGGACAATGAATAATCCGTCAGACTTCAGGGGTCTGGACTCTTAGAGAGGAGGTACTGGGCAGGAGGGAGTGGGGAATGGTGAATAAAGGGGGGGTGAATGGACGAGACAGCGAGTGCCATGTGGGCACTGGCCCCTTGAACCCCTACTGCACGTCAGGCATTGCTCGAGATGCCTGATTTCGTTCACAGCAGTGAACACAAAAGGGACATATTCCCACCCCAGGAAGCTCACCAAAAAAAATAAGCAGGATAAATGACACACACAGTCACATGCTGTGTGACAATGTTCCAGGGACCCACAGAGCCACTTACAGCAGTGGTCCCAGAGGATCCTAATCCTGTTTTTATTGCACCTTTCCTACAATACTCAAACCCCACTGTGTTACCATTGCCCACAGCACACAGGACAGTCACACGCCCTAGCATAGCTTCTGCAAGGGGTCACATCACACAGCCTAGGAGTGCAGTGGGCTGCTCCCTCTAGGTTTGTGGAAGCATACTTCAGGGCGTTCACACAATGACAAAGCTGCCTAGCAAGGCATTTCTCAGAATGTGCCCCCGTCGCTAAGCAACACATGACTGTATATGTCAGACGGTGACTATGCTAAGGAGAAGGCAGCACAGAAGAGAACAGGGGTGGGGGGTGTGGATCCAGTCAAGAGTGAGAGCCTCAGGTTCATACAGCCAGGCAGGAAGGACCATGGAGAAGGCAGGGATGCAGCCAGGCTCCCTGCAGCAGTGTTCCAGGTGGAGCACAGCACATGCAAAGGCCCAGAGGGGGCACGTGCTGGCAGCTTCCAGAAACATCAAGGAGACCAATGTGCTGGAGTGACCAGGGAACAGCAGCAGGCCAGGGGCCAGGGAGGGGATGGGCCTGCCCTCCCAGTGCAGGGCCTTACAGGGCGTGGAGAGGATGCGGGCTTTTCCGCTGCACAAGGCAGGAGCCCAGGACGAAGTTGAACAGAATGGACACATTCTAAACGGCTGCCTAGGGCTGCCAAGTAGAGAACGGGCTGCAGGGGACAAAGGCGGGAACAGGGACCCCCATTAGGAAGCTGGCACAGGACACCAGAGATAGGAGGGGGGCCACAGCCACCTGGAGGCCACAGGACAGGGGGGATAGGATCAGACACTGTCTGGAAAGTGGGGTGGACAGAACTCAGAAGCAAGGTCAGGGATGACACAGCTCCTGGGGCCCAAGCAGCCAGGGACTGGAACTGCTATAGTCAGGGCGAATGAGTGAATGGCCATAGGAACTACTGTCTGGCAGAGTGGAGATGATCAGCAATCTTCTGGAGAAGCAGGCCTATGGCCACGTGGGCGGCAGGCAGGGCTCCTGCAGGGCTTGTGCAAACCCTCCCCCTTCTGCTCGCTGACCAGGTCCTGAACCAGGTGTTGCGACTAGAGAACCTGGTGCTGGAGGCCTCCAGGTCCACCGACAGGCTGCAGAAGGAGGTGCAGCTGCAAAGCAACAAGCTCCAGCAGCTACAGGACCAAAACAGGTGGGCCGGGACTGGGGCTGGGGTTGGAGGCCATGCTGGGACCGGCCAAGCACAGTGGCCCATGTCTATCATCCCAGCACTTTGGGAGGCCAAGGTGGGAGGACCGCTTGAGGCCAGGAGTTCAAGATCAGTCTGGGCAACAGAGCGAGACCCCTGTCGCTACAACAACTCAAAATATTACCAGATGTGGTGGCACACACCTGTAGTCCCAGCTGAGTCCAAAGGATCGCTTGAGCCCAGGAGTTTAAGGCTCTGGTGAGCTGTGATCACACCACTACATTCCAGCATGGGTGACAGAGTGAGACCCTGTGTCAAAAAAAAGAAAAAAAAGATGATAACCCATTGTGGGTACCAGGGCCAAGGCTGGCAGCTGGACTCGGGCTCGTGGCTGGGACAGGGTGGGACCAAGACTGCGGCAAGAGAACACTCAGGGGCCAGGGCTGGAGCTAGAGCTGGAACTGAGGACCAAGGAAAGACTGAAACCTGCCTGGAGCCAAGACAGGCTGGGAGCGAGAGTGGACACCAGAGCTGAACTGAGGCCAGACTGGGGGCCAGGCGGGCACTGGCTAGGTGCCCTGGGACTGGGCGTTTTCCTAGGGGTCGGGACAGCTTGATTCTTTCTCCTTCCTTTCTTCCTTTGTCTATTTTGTAAGTTTTAACAGCTTATGTGAGATAGAATGTATCCACCATAAAATTCACCCTATCAATTGTACTAGCTTCACTTATTTCTAAATAAATTTGATCCCATCTACTTATCTAACTGCTCCCCTCATAGAAGCAACCACACTTACCAGTTCCTTATCTACACTATCAAGGATCTCTGCATTTATAAGCAAATATGCATCAGTGAACACCCTTTAAATTACAATTAAAAAAACTGTCACGGGGTATACAGATAAGGCAGAGAAATCTGACGGCTGAGGCCGATTCCATCTGGGTTTCAAGCTGAGTAAAGAAAAAGCTGCCAAGGTCAGGATTCTAGAGGAGGGAAAGTCTATAATGCACCAGCCGCAGACCTGTCAGCAGAGTGAGATGTTACTGCTGCTCACATGCCGAGTTGGAAGCAGTCATCAGGCTCGCCCAGTTCCCTCTGATCTAGGTCCAGGTAATGACGGTTTGTTCTCCTTCTCATTCCTCAACCCCCAAGGTCTCAGTGACCAGGACTGGGACACTTTCATTCACTGTAAATTGGCACCACATGCCTAGAAATCTGCTGTTGGAAGATGTTATCAGTAAGCCCTTGGCCCATGAAGACAGCTGGAATTCTGGGATCTGAGGGTGCCCGAATTCTCTCTTTCTGCAGCATACTCTGACGTCTGGGAGGAAGTCCCTGTGCCCTGGACTCATTTTCATAGTCTGCAGAGTGGGTCAGCATGACTGGATGAGTAGCACAGTGTCTCCCTCCCGGCCCTGTCCCTGAGCCACTCACCCACCAGAGCCAGAGTTCAAGGCTGCTGTTCCTGGTTTCTTGTGTTCCTTCCCTTCATTTCATCAACAATGATTTTTTGAACTCTTTCCATGGGTCAGGCACTATTACAGACACTGGGAACACAGCAGTGAACACATAGACAGAAGTCCCTCTCCTCATGGAGCTGACGTTCTATAAACCGATACCCCAGGTTTCTTATGAACATGCAAGGATGCAAGTAAGAAGCTCCCTGCCTTACAGTTTCTTCCCACTTACAGTTTTGTGACTTTACAATGGTGTACAAATGACAGTAGAAACCGTGTTTTGTGCAGCCATTCTGTTTCACTTTCAGTATCCCATCAATTAAATGAGCTATTCAACCCTTTCTTATAAAAATAGGCCAGTGCAGGATGATCTGGCCCAACTGTAGGTGAATGTAAGTTTCCCTAGCATGTCTAAGGTAGGTAGGCTAGGCTCAGCCAGGACATTTAGTAAGGTAGGCATATTCAATGTATTATTCATTTATTTTTTCTGAGTCGGAGTCTCACTGTCACCCAGGCTGGAGTGCAGCAGCACGCTCCCAGCCACCACGGCCTCGACCTTCTAGGCTCAGGTCATCCTTCCACCTCAGCCTTCCAAGTAGCTGGGAATACAGGCACACACCACCACACCCAGCTAATTTTTTTATTTATTATAGAGACGAGGTCTCGCCAAGTTGTTCGGGCTGGTCTCAAACCCCTGGGCTCTGGCAATTCTCTCATCTCCATCTCCCAAAGTATTGGCACGACAGACATGAGCCACCACAACGGGCCGTGTAGTCAATGTATTTTGATTCAACACTATTTTCAACTTACAATGGGTTTATTGGGACGTAGCCCATCATAAGTCAGGGAGCATCTGTACAATGCCTTTTTCATCCTTTTTAAGCACAATGCAGCACACCACACTTCTATGCCTTGTGGGTTTATTGTTGTTGTTTCTGTTATCTTGGAAGTGATTCTCTAGCTGTGTGACATGCTCGCCCATCCTTCCCCAACTTCATGAGGTCCTGCTGTGTGGTTTCCCCTGCTTCCATCTCCCCCCACAGAGGTTATTTCTGGTCTTGTACTAGCCCAACCAGGAATGCCATGACAAGCATCTCCAAACCTCACTTCACACCGTATGAGCAAATCCAGAGGAAAAGATGCCCTACAAGAGCTGAGTCGAAAGCATTTTTTGGAAAAATTCCTCTTCCAAATCCATTCCAAAAGTGCCTTGTGCTTATAGTACCATCAGCCAACAGAGACCTGTCCAGAATAAAAGTGAAAGTCAGTGCCCCTCACCTGCCCCTTCTCCCCCTCTCCAAGTTCGTCCACTCAACCTTGCTCTCAGAAATCACAGCATTTTGGGGAACTCTATTTCATATCCATATTTTAATATTCTCATGTCATGTCCATGGGCTCCATGGCAGTCCCTCTCCGTGTCTTCCCAGCCCACTCCCATACGTCCACCGCATCTCTTCCCATTTACATGGATAACTTTCTCTTCTTCTGTGGAATTGGACAAGTGTGTGCCTGGGTCCTGCCACCCCAAGTCTTGGGTGTCTCTCCAATTCTCTCTGCAAATTCTCTCTGCCTCCTTCTTCGTGGCTGGGGAACATTTCCAGGAAGTCCAAAACCCAACACATACAAAATGGTGCTGTCAGGCACCCAGGCTATTTGGTTTTTTTCCTATTACAAGCATTCCCCCAAGGGCATTCTTGCCCATGTTCCCAGAGGGTATCTCCTGGGACAGGGCTCCTGGGTTCAAGAGAGCATATTTGGGGTTTACTGATGGCTACTTAGTTCTGCCTTCCCCCTCCCACGTCACCTCTTTCCTCTACGGGACCCCAATCCACATTACTCCAGGGCCGGGTCTCTCTTTCCTGTCCTTCATTCTGTGCCTACAGGGCTGTGCAACACTCTCTAAGCCTCAGCGCGAGTCTGCAGGGATCCTGGGGCGCAGGATAAGAGCATGGGGGTGCAAGCTTGATGTGGACAGTGGACTCACCCCTGTGCCTTCCTGGCCTCAGGGGGCTGGAGACGCAGATACAGACTCTGGAGACGAAGCAGCAGGAGGAGCTGGCGGGCATCCAGAGCCAGAAGGAGCAGCTGCAGAGCCTGCTGAGCCGCCAGGACGGCGCCCTCGCCGGCCTCCAGCGCACCCTGCACGACTTCGGCAGCAACTCCAGCCTCCTGCAGCAACGGCACCACGAACTGCAGCAGAAGGTGGCGCAGTTGGTGAGACTGGCCCAGCGCCCCAGTGAGCCAGCAGGTGCACCCCAGCGGGGGAGAGAGGGTGGAGAGGATGGGAGGGAGACCCTGTCCGCTCTCCTGATTCTCTGGGGCCTGGGATCCATGAGGCACAAAGTGGCCTGGGCCCACTGTCGGCGTGCATGTGGCCCTGGGGGCGAGGCTGCCCAAACTAACCCCACCTGTGGGCTCCTGGTAGCCCAGCCCGAGGTACAGAGCCTGGGCTGACACCTGGGCCGCTGATCCACCACTAACCCAGCCTCCTGGCTGTCTGCTCACCGTCTAGGAAGGAGGTTGTGTTGAGCACCTCACCTCGGCACCCTTTGCCCGAACACCCTGTCCTGCCACCCCACCAGCACTAGAGAAGGCCCCTAGGGAGCTGCTTCTGCCCCTGTCTAGAGAGAGAAATAGTGAGCATGAAAAAGGGGTTTAGTCACCGGGTGTTAGAGCAGAAGGCTGGATGGTGATAGGGTCCAAGAACCAGGCACCTTCTGCACAGCTTTGTCCTGGGAGAAGAGAGTAGAGTTTTCTGCTGCTTCCAGGCACCAAGGAGTTTAGTTCAGAAGGTTACAAGGACAGGGGCACAGACAGAATAGACCTAACCTGTGCACGATATAAACACGGCATTCGTTCACATGGACTTTCATATGCTCAGTAGTGGACACCCAAGAGAAGAAATGGTGGTAGGAAGGGCCCTGGCTTGGCAGTCAGAAGGGTCAGAGTTCAAGTCCTGGCCCCATCACTTGTGCGTGCTGGGACTTTGCACAGTCATTTAACTTCTCAGTGCCTCAATCTTCCTCACCTATAAAATGGGAATAATCATCTCCCAGAGTTCTTACGTAGAGCATCAGATGAGTCCATGCATAAGAAGGGGCTCGGCTCGGTGCCTGGGGCCCAAAGGGAGTGAAACTGGTACCAGTTACTAGAGATGGGATTCCAGAGACTCAGAGGGGGCCCAGGCCAGGGTCAAATTCTGCTGCATACCAATACCACCCCACCCTATTCTTATACCCCCCAAAAACATTGTTCATGGACCCACACTGCCCCTGACTGTACTTGAGAACTAAAAAACATGGCAATATGTGATGGGGATTTCACTTTTATTGTCACTGTTATTGCTATTGCTGCTGTTGCTAACTAAGAAAAACAAGTGGACAGAACCTTGGAAAGGTGACTGGAAATCTCGGGCTAGTTCCCAGCTCCGTCCTTGGCCCACCCTGCTCACCTCTAGGCCAGCTCCTTCCCTTGCTTGCCTGGTCTCCCATCCCCAGGCTCCATGGGGCAACCGGGGGTATTGACAGGCAGGGCATGGGAGACCCCTACCCAAGAACATTCAGGCACAGGCTGAATGGATTCAGGGAGCCTTAGTAACCTCATTTGTGATACGAGAATAACATTCTCCTTCAGACACGTGTCCAGACCCAGGATCTGGGACCATGGTTCCGGTATAAAGTCACACAGGAAGTCCTGCCCCCTGTAGCCCGCTGGTTTCTTGCTGGTGTTGAGACCTCTCCACCTGGACCTTTAACCCTGGTTTGGGTACCTACCCAGAGACACTGGATTCTGGTAGAATCACATCCTGAAACACTGACTGGATTTTACTCATTGACACGGAGGGTATTTTAAATACTTGTGGTTTATTTGTCAACAGTCTCTTTTCCCAGGTCAGGCCTGGAGGACCCCAGGGTATTAGTAGGTTTTGGTTAACATAATGCTCTCTCAATCTCATGCAATCCAGAGGGAAGAAACATGGCCCTTTAAGGGTAGCGATCGGCTCCCAGAGAAGGCAGAATGAGGGGCCCATCCTCAAGGCTGCAGGGAGAGCCAAGGCCTTCCCCCATGCTGACCTCCAGCCCCCATGCCACATCTGACCAGAGTGCTCTTCCTCAGCACAGACAATCTGGGCTCCTCAGCCTGGCGCTAAAGGCTGCACTGGCCCTGCTGAAATCTCGGCCTCCTGTCTCTCCTCTTTCTTCCTCATCTTCTCTGTGCCAGCCTCGTCCTACCCTCTTCATTTTACCAAACAGCCAACCATCTCTCTGGCCTCAAATCTGCTCCATGGTGTGAGCCATTTCCTCTCCCTGGCCTCTGCCTCAGTTTCTCTTCCCACACCCTGTACCCTGCACAGGCCAGAACCATTCCCACCTCAGGGCCTTTGCATATGCTGTTCCCTCTGCCTGGAACTCTCTCCCCTTCTCCACCCGGCAGCTCCTGCTCATTGTCCCAGTCTCAGCTCACTGTCACCTCCTCTAGGAAGCTTCCAAGGTCTGCCTCATCTCCCTGTCTCCAGCATCTCCCAGCCCAGAACCTGCCACAGAGCAGGCAGGCCCACCTGGTCCCTTCCCTCTCTCCTTGCTCCCCTCCAAGTGACTTTTGTTTTGTCCCATTGCAGACCCTGTGAGGGAAGCTACGCAGGTGTTCCAGGACTGTGCAGAAATCCAGCGCTCTGGGGTCAATGCCAATGGTGTCTACTCCATCCACCCGACCAATATGAGGGAGCCCAAGGAGGTCAGGAGGCTTGCTGGGAACTGAGGCTATTAGAGGGTGCTGAGCCAAGGGCTTCCCAGACAGAGCCCCACCATCAGCATCAAGCTGAGATACCAGAGATGGTGGGGGTGGTCCCCACCTGGTCAGGAGTCAGATTGGGAGTTCACCGGAAGTCCCTAAAGTTGGAAGTGTGTCCCTCACCGGGGTCTTCTCAGAGATGCTTGTTACCAAATGGCAGGAAATAGTTCTATGTTGGCTAAGGTGATCCTAGCTCATGCTACAAACAGATCCTGAAACCCCAGGGGCTTCACACAAAGAAGCTTCTTTCTCATGTACCTGGAGTCCAGGTGAAGCTGGGTACTGGGGCTCTGCCCCACGTGGGAAATCAGAACCAAGCTGATAGAGGCACTACGGGCTTCCACAAGTGCCTCCCACAGTTGCCCTGAGCTTCAAGGTCCAGTCATCAGATGGGGCGGGGCCAGGGAAGGGTGCAGGTGTCAGGAGGGATGTTGGGGACCAGGCCAGAGGGGGAGAGCGTGGGGAGCAGCCACCCAGCATTCCTGCCTCTAACTTTCTCTTCCATTTCCTGCCATCCCTTTTGAATGTATTGAGGTGATGGTATGGTTCTCATACACCCATTAAACTCTCCTTTTAACGAAGAGAGCTCGAGTCTAGCGCTTTTTGCTAGCAACGATTTCTTGCTAGAATTTCACAACATTATTTTGTTTTATTACATTTTATTTTTGCAAGTATCTGAATAAAGACAGGTGTGACTAGTTTTCCACTAATGGAACTAAAAAGATTCCCTTTGAAAATACACTTAACCTAAGTATTTATTTACATTGAATAAGAAAACATACTGTGTGAAATTAAGCAGATTCAGCTAGGGTGGAATTCAGGCCAGTGTAGACAGCTGGGAGTTGGAAACACTGAGAGAGATGAGCTGACCTGGGGGCCAGAGATATGGGCTCAGACCTCAGCTTCACTTTTGGTTCCTTGCCTTGAGCAATATCTTCCCCTCTCTGGGCCTCAGTTTCCCTTCCTACCCCCTCCGCCACCCTCATAACAGATGCCACTGTCTTCTCTCCTCCCCCACAGGCCTTTCCCATCTCAGAGCCCTGCATCCTGGCTTTCTCCACTGGAAATGGCCTTTTCACTCATTTCAGGCTGGCAGGCATGCCATCATTCAATGCCCTGTTCCAATGTCACCTCTTCTAGGAAGCCTTCTAGGGTTGCCCAGGGTCTCCTTCTTGGGGCCTCTCCTTGTAACTGCTCAAATGTTCATAATCAATACCCTGTGTGTCCTGCCCTAGCCTCCTCCAGACTAAGCCAGCCCTGAGGTTAATTTATCTATGATTCGTCAGTCATTCATGTAGTACAAGGCCAGGCACCACTTTTGCACTTATTGAACGTGGAGCATGTGTGTATTGAGCTGGCTGGAAAACTCCTTTGTGGACAAAGGTGAGGCTGAAATGTTCAATTGTGATAGGTGGCAAGCTCCTTGAGAGAAAGAACCTTATCCACATTGACATCCCCAGGGCCTTGGACAGAGCCTGGCAAATAGCAGGTGCTCAGAAAACACTTGTCCACTAAACAATGGCCATAGTAGCACATCCTGAGTCTACACTGCACTAAGTACTCCCCACCTGCCAACATTGAACCCTTACAGCAACCCTGCCATAGTGGCTACTTCTGTCCACCCTGGATCTGCTCTAAACACATTGCTCATCTCACTTAACTCTCACAACAACCCCAGTTTGCAGATGAGCAACTGAGGCACGAAGAGGTTATGATGTGAGCCCCCACTGTAGACATGAGGAGAGGAAGCCATCACTTACCCACTACTCTAGAAAGATGATGATGATGGGTGGGGGGTCTGAGTCAGATCTTTCCGTTGCTTTATGGGAGTCTGCCAGCCAAGTCCCATGTGGGCCAGCCCAGACCTGGCTTCTGGCTGCTTCCAAGGGCTTCCAGCTGTCCCGCTCCAACCCCTCCAGGTGTTCTGTGACATGGAAACCAACGGAGGCGGGTGGACTCTTATCCAGCACCGTTTTGATGGCAGCGTGATTTTCGAGCGGAACTGGAAGAACTACAGAGAGGTAACATCACTGCCCTGGGATGGGCCAATCAGCCTGGAGTGGGGGCTGGGGTGTTGGGGGGTTGCTTTGCCCTCCCTCCTTCCCAGAAAACAATCAGCTCACCAAGCCAACCACCTGCAGACACATTCGCCCAGTGCACATTTATCTTCCAAGTCCCCCTACCTGAGCTTGAATGCTCTTTTTGAAAGTTCTGACCTATGTTCTAAGAATGAAAGTTTAACCTTACTTTTGTTTTAATTTTTAGGAAAGATAATACATATACATTGATATTTTCAAAACTTTAAAAGTACAAAGAAAAACAAATATCTCTACCCACCCCTGACTGCATTGCTTTAATGAATTTTCTGTCTTTTCACATATCTGTAGCCATATCTGTAGGAGAGATTCTTCAACATGGAATTGCAGGTTCAAAGACCACATGTATTTTCTAAGATTAAAAAGAGTCCAATTGTCTTCCAATTTTTTAAAGTTAAATTTTGAGTAAAGGATTTTTTGTCAAGCTGTCTTGAGTTCCTAAAGTTTTCTCTCTCTCTCTCCTTCTTTTTCTTTCTTTCTTTCTTTCTTTCTTTCTTTCTTTCTTTCTTTCTTTCTTTCTTTCTTTCTTTCTTTTTTTACTTTATTTTATTATAAAGATAGAGGGTACAAGTCAGGATTAGGTATATAAGTAACCTACGTGCAGGTTAAGTGTGGGCCTCCAACTGGTCCTCCCTTCCCCTGGCTTAGGGCCAGGTACCCAACTCTTAAAGTTTTCAAAAGCAAAAGAAATAGAAAAAGATACCCACAAGGCCATATAGCAATATTATTATTTGTGCCTGCTTGCTGTTCATTTGCTAAACCCTTAAGAAGAAATACCAAATTAAGTATTCCTGAGCGGCTGGTGTTTTAAACCATCTTTAAGATGGAAAAGAGGCAGAGGGAGTTCAAAGGCAGAAGACACAAGAGTCCCTAGACGAACCGCCCGGCTTATCAGCGGTGTGCGCTGACTAAAATGGGGAGCTGCATGGGTGTGCCCTGTCCTTGGTGCTGAATCGTCCTTGCCAAGGGCTTTGCGATAAGACATTCCCATGCTTAGCTGCATGTGTGTGGGGCTGAAATTTCGCAGTGGTTGCCCTGTCACTTAACAGATTTGCTCTGTCATTTATGTGCCTGATTAAAACCTTTAATTTTTATTGAGGTTCAGCACACAGGCAGCTTAGTGCACAATCTCAAGCATAAAGTCCCTGGATTTTTACATGTGTATTGACCCATGTGACCCCCAATTTGGCTAGATGTGCATCACTTCCTGCACCCCAAAAGCCCTCTTTGTGCCCCATCTCAGTCAATACTCTCTCTAAAGTGGTCACTCGTCCGACGTGAATCACCACAGATGAGTTTTGCCCGTTCTTGAACTTCAGAGAAATGTGGTTTCTATTATTTTCAACAGGCTTTACATTTACAAAAGCCTTTGTCTTTTTCCTCTGGGAGGTTGGTCCTCCCCACCCCCAGGGCCCATCCAAGCTATATTCATGACCTTGACCATCAAGCACTGTGGTTTTGGCTAAGTGTCCCGTGCCAGCCCCGCCCAGCTCCTCAGCTGGGGCGTAACCTCCTCCTCGGTGTGGAGCTCATCCCTCCCTGCCTTCCCACAGGGCTTCGGCGACGCCCACGGGGAGCACTGGCTGGGTAATGAGGTGGTGCACCAGCTCACCAGCAGGGTGGCCTACACTCTGCGTGTGGAGATGCAGGACTGGGAAGGCCAGGAGTACTACAGCCAGTACGAGGGCTTCCAGCTGGGCAGCGAGGAGCAGCTATACAGGTGGGCTCGGGGCTGGGTTGGCGGGCGGGCTGGGGTCCCCGGGCCAGTGGCTGTGGAGTCTACAGCAAGGGTCAACCCTAGGGCGTCTCCTGCTCCTGCCATCTGTCCCCCATTTGGGTGCGCGTCATGGGATCTGGAGGCAACTGGTTAGCACTCAGCACATCTCAGTCGCTGGGCGGAGTGGAGAGAATGTGGCTGGTGCCACCATCCGGGAGTGGGAAGGGGCTTCCAAGTTCAGTCACCCAAGTCAGTTGTTTTGCAGAGACCCAAAGCAGGAAGGTGATTCACCTGTCCTAGGCCCTGCTATTGGGTGGCAAGTCCCTGGGCTGGGTGCTGGGAGAGCTGGGCTCATTCTGGCTCTGTGCCAGCTGGCGCTGGGGTCTTGGGCAGGCCACAGTTGGGCTCCTCCGGCCTCTTTCTCTTCAGTAGCAGGATGGGCTTCAACTCAAGGTTACTAGAAAGTGACTGAGGTTTCCCACCCCTTCCTCAGCCTGGCGCTTGTTGCATTTAGGAAAAGGAGAGTTCCTTTATTGAATGCCTACTATGTTCCAGACACATTTCTCACTTTAATCCTCCTGTAACACTGTATGAACTGTAGTAATATGGAAACTGAGGCACTGAGCTTAAGTATTCTGCCCAAAGTTACAAGTTGAGTGAGTATGGATTTGAACTCAGGTCTTCCTACTGCACTCACAGTGACCCCACAACACACATGATGTTGCCTCTCTGAGAAACTCAAGGACCCTGGAGATAAGCATCTATGGACTTGGATAGTACTGGCACCACAGACTCACACTCGCGGGGCTGCAAAGACCTCCCAAAACATCTGGCTCATCAGAGGTGTCAGAATTCCCCCACAGCTACCGTTGTCATTCCATTGTGCTTGAATGCCTCTATTCATGGGGAGGTCACCTCCTCCCAAGGAATCTCTGAATGACACTCTGTACCCCTGAGCTTTATGCCAGTTCCACTTCTGCAGACTTAGTGATGCAGCCCATGCCTCTCCTCTTTGCAAATGTCCCAGCTTGCTCCAGCTGGGTGGCTCTGGCATCCCTCCTCATAGGACCCACTCCAACCTGATAATGTCCCTCTTGAAAGTGCAAGACCCGGAGTAAAAAAAAATCTCCTGGGTCTGGGCTAGGAGAGTTGAGCTGGACACCCCCCTACTCACAGCTGACCGGTAAGTAGCCACAACACCCTGTGGAGTCGTATTTAAACCACTGGCCACCAAAGCAAAGGGCTAAGTCCTGACTCCACCTCCTTCTCTCTGAGTGACCCTGAGCAAGTCCCTCTACCTTCTCATCTGTAAAAGGGGTGCCCTAGACATACCGATCCCAGTTAGAGTGCTGTGAGACCCAAATAAGATACTGTACGTAAGGTGTTAACATGGTGTCTGGTGCACAGTAAACATTCAGCAGTCACTGCCCCAAGGTGCCCTTCCCACCTTGGCTAGGCAGCCCCATGGGAGCAGGAGCCAGGCCTTTCTTGTTCCCTGCCAGTCCTACCCCCAAGTCTTGGTACAGGGTAAGTGCACAAGAGGAAGCTGGGGGGCTGCTCAAGTCTCCCCTTCACTCATAGCAGCCAAGCCTCCTCTCTCTAACCTGGTTCCTGGATCGAGGATCTGCCATTTTTCTGGAGGAGAAATCTCAGGGGAACACACATTTCATTGTACTGAAGAGCATGGCACTGGAGCCAGATAGCCAGGATATGGATCCCAACTCCATGACAGTGGCTTCATGGCCTTATATGAGTTCTTTTACTGCTCTGTGCCTCAGTTTCCCCATATGCAAAATATAGACTCTGTGTATGACACAACAGGATAGTCTGTGGTGAAGCACCCGGCGAATGGTAAGTGTCACATCAAAGTGGGAGGTACACAAACAATATATTCAGAAACAGAATGCGTTTCTGCGGTGATATCTTTATCCATGATATTATGTCCATCTTTCGGACACACTCGTGTATGTTGGATGTGGAAGGCTTGCTGTGCCCTCGTGTGTCAACTGAACACCTCCCCCTGGCCTCTGGCCTCTTATCTGCACCATGGAGAGCACCCTGCGAACAGCTCCAGAGCTAAGAGGGCCCATGTTTACCTGACCTCTGCAGAGCCCTAAAAAATAGTAACAGTATCTTGAACACAGTCCTTGGGCCATGCACATGCTGCGCTGGTCATTTTGGGAAGAATCAGACCTAGATACCTCAAAGTGGAGGTATCTAGAGGTGGGCATGTCCACAGACAACCCCGCACCCTCAGGGAGACAGGAGCTACCTAAAGGGAAAGCTCAGGGGACGTAGAGATGCTTGTGCAATCACAGAGGATTCCCTGAAGGAAGTGATGCCTATAATGAATGGGTATTATTGAGACAAAGAAAGGATAGGAAGGACACCCCAGGCAGCAGGGATTTGCTTTTAAAATGGTAGAGAATTGACATCCAGCTGGGTCACCCATACCCCAAAAGGGATCGAGACTCTTTCACAGGCTGCTAGGATTATAAGAGTGTCCTCTCACTCAGGAAAAGATTGAGGTCAGAGATCCTGGAAAACACAGCGGGGCAGGCGGAGGGGGTCGTCTTGAAACTGCCAGAGGAGGGCCATGGGAGAGTGGCAAACTGATACTGGCACCTCTGTCCCCACCCTATGGGGTCAATTGGTTGGTGAGGTAGAGGACGCCCTACAGGAAAGCCCAGAGGCAGGAACTCATGGACGGTCAGGGCGTCAGGGTGGGAGGACACCCTGGTCTGTCTGATGCAGCAGTGGGGACCTTCCAGAGCCCAGCTGGCAGGCATGCGTTTGCTGAGGACGTGGTACCAGGCACATGCCTCCCAAAGGTGCATTACAGGATGACCCATGCAGGACCTGCAGAGACACAGGGACACACACAAGCACAAGCACCCAAACAGGCACAGGCACGTCCGGACACATGTACAAACAGGCCTCATGGAAGCCCTCACAGGCAGGGAGGGACACATGCAGACCCCGGCGGAGACCCATTCCAGAGCACATGCTCAGACCCACCACAGGAGCTCCGCACAGCCTCGAAACCAACGCACACATTCACATGCAGACACAGATAGCAGTCAGTGCTCACAACCACAGACACAGAGACCTGTGTGCGTGTCCACAGATGTATGGAACTTGGGGTCTCGGGAGAACCATGTTTGCCTGGGTCTCCCCAGGCCTGAGCCATGATCATGCTTCACATGGGGCAAGTGGGGGTCCTTCTTCATAACCTAAGGTCCCCAGAGGTCAAAGATCCTAACCTGCCTCCCAGAGAGGAGAGGCAAAGAGGCAGCCCCTGATATGAGGACTTGGTGACAGCAGAGGGACCAATATTGCAGGGGTGGTGGACTGCCTTTGGCCAGCCTGAGCCCTGATCCTGGCCTTGAGGTGACACCACTGAGCCCTCAAGTGGAGGCCTCAGTGGCCATAGGAGAAGCCAGGTTCACACAAGCGCCCATTCCAGGGAGTCCCGGCCAGGCAGGCCTCTGATGAGGGTTGCAATCCCGGTCATGTGAGCCCAGGGTGACATGGTCAGGAACACAGGGCTTCGTGGCTGGTTACTGCCACCTGAACCCTCCGGGCCATGCCCCTGCCTCACTGCAGATAGAGCCCACAGGCGAGAGGTGTGGGAACTGAGCCAGCCACATGTCTGGACCCCACATTCCCTCTGGGTGCCAATGGGTGTGTCTCCCAGGTCCTGCCCTAAGGGAACCAGGGCTTCCTTGAACTTCCTTGGCCACTCCGCCCAGCAGAATCTTCTTTTTATTTTTATATATTTTTAATTTTTTATTTATTTATTTATTTTGAGACAGATTCTCACCCTGTCACCCACGCTGGAGTGCAGTGGTATGATCCCGGCTCACTGCAGTCTCCAGCCCCTGGACTCAAGTGGTTCTCCTGTCTCAGCCTCTCAAGTAGCTGGGACTATGGGCATGTGCCACCACGTCCAGCTAATTTTTTTTATTTTTTTGTAGAGACAAGGTCTGGTTATGTTATCCAGGCTGGTCTCAAACTCTTGGGTTTAAGCAATCCTTCGGCCTTGGCCTCTCAAAGTACTGGGATTTCAGGTGTGAGTCACCAAGCCTGGCCTAAGGGCCTTCTTAATTTCTCCCAAACTGGTTCCCCACCTCAGCTGCCAGAGCAGCCCCTCTTTGGCCCCACTGCAAGCACCCACCTTCTCCCAGCCAGGCCCGGGTATGCCAAGGGCCGAGTGCCCAGCCCTCCATGTGTGGCATGCTCACTCTGTGCAGCACTGCCCCAGACCTCAGTTCTTCATCACCAGGCAGTCTTGGACATGCCCACCAGGCCACAGAACCTGGCAAAGAGACAGAAACCCTCCCCCAGCTGGCAGCAGTCACAGATCTGGGGCACTCTGGGGCCCAGGTCCATGGGGACTGATGTGGTCAGGGAAGGCTTCTTGGAAGAGACAGGCAGGTATGAGAAGGCATGATGGGGCTGGGTTGCAGCTTCATCAGCTAGGGAGCACAGAGCTTGTCGACTCAAGTCCTGCCATGCTGGAGGGTGACCGGCCCTGATCCTCACTCATTCTGCGACCCTGGGCAGGTTTCTTTGGCTCTTAGGGTCTCTGTGTCCTCACACATGAAATGGGAACAATGGATGTTGTGAAGATTAAGAGAATGAGTTAACCCACACAAGGTGCTTTGAATGATGCCTGGCACATAGTAGGTGCTCCAGAAAACAGCCACTGTCCTCGCTGTTAGCATAATCGTGGTCATTCTCCCTCCAAGGTGTAGGGTCAGTGACAGGAGGTTGTGACATGCAGCAGCACCAGTGGCTGCTTTGCTCCTGGGAGGCAGCAGAGAGGGGGGCAGTCCAGAAGGGGAAACAGCCCTCCCCCTACCCAGGCCAGGACTCCCCCTCCCAGGACAACCGGAGGGGAAGCCCCGCCTGGGACAAAGTTCCAGGGAAGCCCTTCAGCAACACAGCCCCAACCTGACTCTGGCCCTTCTGCCACCGCCACCTCCGGGCGGCCTCCAGGCTTTCTTTCAGCAAGCTCGGTAACTCGACAGCAGGCCAGGGCGGCCTGCCCCTGGAGGGCACCAACTTCAGCACCCGCGACGCTGACAATGACAACTGCCACTGCAAGTGCGCCCAGATGCTGACTGGAGGTGGGTGCAGGGAGGCTCAGAGCTCACCTGAATGGACATCTCCATTCCTCCCCAGGGCATTGTGCACCCAAGTGTTGGTGCAGGTCAGGGCCTTACCCACCCATGGGCTCACCTGGCTGCGCTATCTGTACCTTCCTCCTGGGTCCTTAAGGTCTCACCGTCTCCTAAAGCCGGCACTTCCAGCTTCCTCAGACCAGCCTGGAGGGATACTGAGGGGGGGGTCCCAGGGGGACAGGCCCCATCTGTCCCACCCCGGGCCATGCAGGACCAGGGTTGGGGTCCAGGGGGAGGCAGAGGGGTCACTCCCTGCCACCTCTGCTCAGGCAGTGTCAGGAAGGGGGACAGAGGTCAGAGAGTGGAGATGGGAGTGAGTGAGAGGCAGAGACACTGTGGGAAGGACAGACAGGAGTGACCGCCTGAGACACAGAGACAGGGACAGCTGGAGACTGAGACACCAAAGCTGACAGAGGGGCAGAGCAGTGACATCCGGAGGAAGAGACACACAGCCAGGAGAGGGCCACAGTGTGTGAGGGAGGGGCACAGAGTGGGACAGAGCCCAGAGACCGACGACAGGGAGACACAGAGCCCGTCGGAGGCGCACAGAGACAGACACAAGCACAGAGACCACCAGAGAGAGAAAAAGACCCACTCGGTGTATGAGAGACTCGGAGAGAGTGACAGAGACCACTAGGAAGCAATGGGGAGAGTGATGAGAGCGGACGAGGGCTGGAGAGACAAGAGGACAGCCAGGATGAAGACAGGGACATGGGGCATGAGGGCCAGCTAGGAGGGTGGAGGGTGGAGGGTTGAGGGTGGAGGGCATGAGGGGAGACCAGAGCTCACTGCTGCCCTCCAGGGACCTAGCTGAGCAGACAATCTCTTGCCCCAAACCCACCCATGCCCACACCCACTCCAGCCCATCTCCAGCCAGCTGGCTTCCTGGAGGAGGCAACGGCTCTGGATAGTCTTTGTTCCCTCGGAGTGCAAGGGTGGCTCCCCCCACTGGCTGGGCACCCCCTCCACACAGCTTCTCTTCTCCTCTCCCGCCAGGATGGTGGTTTGACGCCTGCGGCCCCTCAAACCTCAATGGCCTCTACTACGAGGCGCCCCACCACACCAACAGGATCAACGGCATCCGCTGGCCTCTCTTCAGGCCCTCCTACTCGCTGCGCACTTCACGCATGATGATACGCCCCGAGGGCAACTAGCTGCCGCCCCGCCCCGGCTGGACCCTGCAGGAACAGCCCAGACTCGGCACCCAGGACGGCCGGACACCCACGCAGGATGCCGCTTCCGACCCCAGAAGTCTTCAAGAGTCACCCGCCTTCCTGCTTCCCTCAGCGTGTGAGGCGGTGGGTTTCAGGACCCCCGTCTCCGAGTACCCCTCGCCCCTCTTCCCTCCTGCCTCTTGAAGGGGAAGCCTGCCAGCTTGAAGGTCCCAAGACCCTGAGTGAAGTGAAATGGACCAGACTTGACCCCTCAGGGGAACACATGACAGGGGGGGTGGATTGCAGCTGGGGAGGTGTTTGCAGGAGGTTACTCAATGGAGGCCAGGTTCCCTCTCCTGTTCTAAGCTCCTGTCTCAAGCTTGCCCGGCCATGAGAAGTCCTTGGACTCTTTTCAAGGCTGAAGGGGCTGCTGACCATTATTTCCCCTCCACTCTCCACCACCCCTAGGCCCCAGAATTTGGAGCTCAGAGGCTTCAGGAGATATAAAGGGATTCCTTCACCCCGGCAAGTCCTAGAGGATGTTCCACAGAGAATAACGAGGACTCCTTTCTAAAAGTACCTAATCAAGAGAAGGAAGTTAAATCAAAGTGAATAGGCAATCTTAGCTGCAGGACTCATCAGAGCCTTTAGTATGGTCACCTGCCTTGTGACTGCCCATGAAGAGTGAGCCACTTTCTCCAAATTTCTTTATGTGAAAATAAACCCTGCTTGTCCCAGAGCATCTCTTGGATGAGGATGACTGTGGGAAAACCTGGTCCTTACCTGTCAAGAAGAAGAACTCCGGGCCCCATCCCCCACCCCCAGCTTCACTCACCCTTTTTGGCTACATGGGCTGTATTGACAGCCTCAGACAGCCTCTGAAACAACTGGAAGGTACCTTTGCGGTAAGACAGGCACCATTTTGGAATAAAGGTCGGGAAAGAAGTTCTTGTCTTTGCTGTGGGTTAATGCCCTCTGAGGCTCCTCCTGGCCCCAGGAGGCCCGACCTCTGGCCGTGTGGCTGCCCTCGGGACTCCCCGTGACACCAGCTCCCACAGGCTCAAGTCCAGGCACTATTTAGCAGGATACCAGTCTCAGGGCTAGGCTCCTCCTGCCTTCGAACCCTAACCTCTTCCTTCCTGCCGCCTCTGGCAGTGGTGCCACCTCCAGGGGGCTGCAGAGGGAAGACCCAGTCTCTGCCTGTGGGGGACCAGAGCCCTTCATGAGCTCCTCTCAGAGGCTGGGGTCAAAAAGGGGCCACAGTCATCTGCCACCTGCTCCATTACCCTCTCAGCCTGCCATCGGCCAACACCCAGGCCCAGCCAGGACCTCACTATCCTGCAGCCAGGATGCACCTCTGTCTCCAGCAGGTTTTCTTCAGGCTAAGACAGGCCAGTAGGGCCTGACACCTTCATTTCCCCACCTCACCACCCCGCTGTGCCCCTGCCTGAGTCCGTCTCTCGGCGGATCCCTGAGCAAACCCATCACAAGCCTGACTGGGAGCTTCTTTCTGGGAAACAGCACTTTTCCCTCTCTGGACCCAAAGGACCTGCCTGGTGGCATTGTAGGCAGGATGGGGAAGGTACTCAGGACAGACTGCCACCCAGAAACTCAAATTGCCATGTGCAGGATCTGCCTGGCAGAGCTGCATTCGGTGTCTACTGTGAGCAGTGGATGGGCAGGCAGGGATGTGGAGTTGGACGGATCTGCCCTGCCCTGACACATTAGGCAATGGCTCAGCCTCTCAAGGCCCCGACTGTCTTGTCAGCTGTCAAAGCCTCAATTGCCTTGTCTGTAAAATGGGGCCATATTCCCTCCTCGCTGGGCTGTGGCAAGGAGGGAGTGAGACCATGTGTGTCAGCTTGACAGAGCCTGGCATGCAGCAGGTACCTAGTAAGGGTCAGCCCCTGAAGATGTGAATGGGCCAGGGAGGAAATGGCATTTCCCGTTTGCATCCACAGTATTTATTTTCATCTTGTAAAGTTTACAGTCTGGCTGCACGCTGGCGAGGAGGGGAGGGCAGGTGTTGCTCTCCCTCCCCATCTCTGATGCCTGCTCGCTTCCCTCCATCTCTGTGCTCTCCCTCAGTCTCTCTGCCCCCAGGCCCTGGCCCCAGGCTCCAGCTCATCCCCCCGGGTCACCTCTGACTACCAAGGACACTGCCTTGTGTTGTGCAGGGCACTTCAAACCTGGTTCTCAGTCCTGGCTCTGTCCCTGGACCAGAGCCCCTGGCTTCCTTTGGGCCTCAGTTTCCCCTTGGTGCAACAAGGACCAAGTCCCTGCCAACCTCTCAAAGCCCTCCCAACAGTGATGCTGACTCACACTGGCTGCAGCAGGACCAGCCAGAGGACTCTGGGCAGCACATGGTCCTGTGGGGGGCAAGGTTGATGGCCTTGAGTGTCCTGGGGGCCACAGCTCATGGGAACTCCTAGGGTCCTGTGCAAAATCCTTGCTACCTCTCCCTGCATCAGACTAGTTTTCTCCCCATTTTAGTGATGAAGAAACTGGGACTCAGAGAGAGAATGAGCCTCATGGGGGCATCCCCGCCCATCACCATCTCCAGCACATGTGCATCTCCAGAGACACCTTGGCATCTACCACAGAAACGTTGGCCTGGGATCCCTGCCACCTACATCAGGAGCCAAAGGAACTTTCTGGAAAGGCCTCCAAGACCAGTATTTCCCACTGGCGCCTGAAGTTCCTGAGGAGCCTGACAGGTAGAACACATTGTTCTGAGATCTCGATCTCTCCATGTCCCAGCAAAGGCAGTGTCCACACTGGGAAGGGTTCACAATGCACACAGTGTTGTTCAGAGACAACACCCTGGACGAGATAGAAAGCGGCCTTCACAGGGGGTCGGGGATGGCCGGCATGGGATGTTTGTCTCAGGGGCTGGGGGACTTGGCCCCTTCCTCTGAGTTTTCCTTCCTCTCAGTCTGTGTGGGTGGGTCTTCAGCTCTGCCATTTAAAGACGCTTCAGAAGGCTAACCCCATTGCCTTGGCAACACCAGCATCAGCATCTTCTGATGGAACAGCCTTTCGGAGAGGGCTGCTCAGGCAGTGTCCAGCATAAACCTGTTACTTTCCCGTGTTAAATTAATGTGGGCTTCTCGTGTGTCCTGGGATCCCCGGAGCCTCCCACTCCTCATCTGCACAGTGGGGAACCTGGGATCCGGCTCGTGGGACGCCCATGACGGTTCAGCGTAATGGAGGTTAGCCTGGCATAGCCACTCCTGTGGTCATTCCTCCACGTGCTCATGCAATCACATCACACATATGTCTTGAGAACCTGGGCCAGACCCGGCTGGGCAAGGGCGATGGGACAAAGAGCAAAACAGACGTGCCCCCTCCTGCACCCACAGAGCTGAACAGGCTGGAGGGAGGGGCCAGCAAAAGCCAATTTTAAAAACAGTTTAAAGGGGCAAGTCAGCCAGTGAATTAACATATTGCAAGTGAGGCTAGTAGGCAGAGGGAGAAGCAAGAGAATCACATACCCTGGGGAGACCCTGGGAGGTAACATAACTGAGGACCAATCAGGTGAGACAGAGGCATCAGGTGAGGGATGTGGGAAGAGCAGGCCCACTGGCAGAAACAGGTGCAAAGGCCCCGAGGCAGTCACATGTGTAGCTGTTTCAGGAACCACATGGAAGCCAGTGTGGTTGGAGGCCAGGGAGCAGAAGGGAACATGGTGGGGGAATGTGCCTTCCAAGTCCCTCCATGGGAGACCAACCCCTCCACCGATGCCCACCAAGGGCTGGATCCAGCAGTTTCCCAACCTGTAAGTGCAGGAGAGAGACAGCCGATCACCTTCTGAAGGTCATCCAGACCCTACTATCTTAGGAGTCTGGGCCCAGATCCTCTTGTGTCCACTGCCCTGAGCTGGGTGCCACTGGGGGAGTCAGAGGGAGAAAGAGAAAAGAAGGCCTCACCCTCGGGCTGAACGAGGAGTCAGGAGTGTCTTCCACGAGGCCTGAGCCAGCAGGACTTGGGTGGACACAGCCTGTGTGCCTCCTCCCTACTAACTCCACAGACACCACCTCACAGAATCCCACAAGGTGGTTTATCAACCCTTCCCCATTTTACAGATGTGGAGACTGAGGCCCAGAGAAGTACAGTGCCTTGCCTGTGGTCACAGGCTGAGCAGCTGCAGCAGGCCCCAGAATCCCGTGGGCTCGGTCACTCTCGTGTAAATCTGGAACCGAGCAGTCCAAGGCTGGTGGGTACTTCCTCCATCTGCAACCTCTCTGGGCCCAGGGTAGCTGCAGCCAAAGGTGCCCTTTTCCGATTGCAGAAATGGAAACAGGGCACCCGGCCTGCCCCCACCCCTCCACTGTGGCACCTACCGTCTCACTGCAGCCTGGTCTTTTGCCTGGTAGACCCCAGCAGCCTCCTGATGTGAACACATCTTCGGGTTTACTACCTCCTGGCCTGCAATCACGTCACTTCCTCTCCCTCTGCCTGGACCTTCAGTGGCTCCACAGTACGCTGAGAATAAAGGTCTCACACTCAGCCCGCAATCCAGGCTCTTTCTTGCCTAGCTCAAGCCTTCTCCAGCTCTGCCTCTGTTCTGGTCCTTCATATGGGGCTCAGAGACTGCAGGCCTGAAGCATTCCTTCTGAAGAAAGGCACCAGATGACCATCTGCTGTCCTAGAAGAGCTGCCCATGGCCACTCGACCATTCTGTCCCTCTGGCACCAAACACAAGGTCCAGGGTGCAGTGGCTGCTCTGCAGCCTTCTGGTTCTGCAGAGAGCAGGTCCAAGTCCCACTTTTGTCCCCTCCAGTTATAACAGCAGAACCCCTTGAATCCCTGCAAGGGATCAGCAGACGTGAGGCGCCAGGACAGGGCCTGTGCATGGGGAGTTCTTGGAGATGTGGTCTCTGATCAGTTTTCTATGCCAAGCTCTTCACAGAGAACTTCCCTTGGAAAACCCACAGACGCCCCACCATGACACTGTCGGACAGGTGAGGACATGGAGGTTCAGGAAAGCAAAGTCACTTGGCCAAAGCCACAAAGCAAAGCGTCAAGGGGGTGGCTTTGGACCCCAGTCACCTGCTCCAGAGCATGTTTTATCTTGATCACGTGTTTTCTCATGGCCAAGGTTAAGAAAATAATTAACAGCATAAGCATTTGCTAAGCTCAAGCCGAACACCTGGGGGCGAATTGGAGGCTGCGGGCAGGGGACCCATCCTTCACCAGGCTTCGGACTTCCTGCTCCTCTTGCCCTGGCATGGGGACGCAGGGACACAGGATCAGCCACCCAGCTCTTTTCTGAGTGAGAATGAACTTTCTTGTCAACCTCCTTGACCTCCCCACTGTGCCTGGGGCAGGTGAGGGGCAGGGGTGGGCCATGATGGCTGATTCCAGTCTGGGCGGCAGGAGAGGGAAGCCTGGAAGCCCCCTGGCTGACTGAGGCCCCTTCCCTCACTTCCCTCAGTTTCACCTCACCCTTCACATCCCTGTGTCCAGGAGGAGTATCAGGACAACAGTGCCCAAGCTGGACTGTGTCCACAAACCACAGAGGACTGGATCAGCCCCTTCTCTCTGGGACTCACCTTCCTCATATGTAAGATGAGAGTGAGCAGCCCAGGCCTGCTTGCTTCACAGGGCTGCAGTGAGACTCAAATAAGATGATCCCTTCCCTCAACAAGTATTTATTGAGCTCCTACTATGTGCCAGGGACTGTGGGACCTGATGAGAGCACAGCCAAGATGGCAGACTATCATTTTCTCTAAGGTCTGGCGGTGGGGAGAGGTGAGAGGAGACAGAAACTCCATAGAAATTAGGATTGCCAGAGCCCGCGAGTTCAAGACCCGCCTGGGCAGCAAGACCTCATCTCTACAATAAATCAAAAAAATCAGCCGGGCGTGGTAGCGCATGCCTGTAATTCCGGCTACTTGGAAGGCTGAGGCGGAAGGATCGCCGGAGCCCAGCAGGTCGGGGCTGCAGTGGCCGGGAGCGGCCACTGCACTACTGTCTGGGCGACAGAGTGAGACTCCAACTCAAAAAAAAAAAAAAAATTAACCCAACAATAAAAAGTGCAATGGACGTGGTAGGGAAACGAGAAGGTGCTTCTGGAGCAAGGGCACAGGCAGAGCTGGGGC